CAGTGATGTGGAAAAGTTTTTTTCCTGTTGTCTTGTGTGCAAGTATCAAAATACATGGTTCTGTAAATGAATGAATAGAGGGAAGAAGACTGCAAGACATGGAAATAAACAAAGCAGGATTTCAAACACCTGAAAACACTTAGTGAATGTTTGTTGGACCTCAAGAGACGCAGAGCAACTCTGAGTAAAACTGAATGTAAACTCTACTCTCAAGATGTTCTGATGTAAGAAGGCCCAAGATGTTATTAAATATTATGTCTTATTAGCAAATTATTAGATCGCTTAGATAAAATATACAGATCTATGCAATGAAGTTCTGCTTGATGACAGGTTAAAATGGTCGATTGCGTTCCAAAATCACATCACATTGTGTTGTTGCTGCTGGGAATCAAGCCACAGCTGCTTCATTTAGCAACATTTAATACATGGTTTGCACACGCGGTCGAGATTTTCAGCATCTATTCGTCTAAACACTAGAGCTGGTAACGTGTGTGATCCAACAACATGTTCTGTCAGGAGATATTGTTTTGAGAGTTTTGCACATTGCAGCATTTACAGTTAACAGAGAAGGACGCAATGAGCAAACACATGCTTTCTGCTGGTGGAAATGCTTTGTGAAGTTGACAAAACCCTGATGAGACACGTGGAGGCTCATGTTAAGAGTCTGTTACAGCAGCAGTGGTGGTGAGCTGAAATGAATCTCTGAGCATGTGTGACCTTAAAGCTGAGGAGACAGCAGCAGGAGACAGAGTCTCATTCAGCTCCTGGCAGCTAAGATGAAAAACGTGACAGCACAGAGAGACACTGTCCTGAATGAGGGCTGACAAACCTCATGGACAGACGCCTTCAAGTACACGAATCCACGGATGGTGTGAAGGCGGTGGCAGCACGTGTCATGTACTGATGCAAAGAAACTTTTTTCACATCTCAGTCCAATGAAACTTTGGGCTGTTTGCTGTAACTTTTGCTCCAATAAAGTATTTGTTTTACTCAAACAGTTCCAGGTGTGTTGTTTTAAAGAGAACCCAAAGTTTTTCTATTCTTGAAGTTTATTGAAATAATTTTTAATTAGGAAAACAGAATTCAGCTTCGAGAAATAATAACAAACTAAGATGGCAGCTTTCTTTTCTTACCTGCCTCAGGCGTTGGTTGTCTGCTTGATTTTAAGTGGATGGCATTAATTAAAATTCTCACCGTGCCTGGTTCTGCAGGCGAAAAGGTCCAAGCACAGAGAGTCTAAACAGGGAACTGAAAGAGGTCGAATAGAGGAATGGATTTATGGTTGGTTCTACTGCATATGTGGGAAAAGTTGTTTAAAATGTTTTTGTGAACTCTGATAATCTGATGGGTTTAAACCATAGATATGTATACTAAAGGCTAGATGTCTTAAGGTGGCGTTTCGAACGGGATCACCCTTCGGCCATCTTGATTTGGGGCAGCTCTCTGGTGGAACCTGTGGTACGTGAAGGAAGGTGAGTGATCTGCACAGACGTAAATACTCTTATCTCGCTGAAATCTTGATAGATTTACAAACGGTTTGGTTTCTTACAAATGTTACTGACGTGGCTACAATTCAAATTACAAAAATACAAATAAAATACAAAATAATTAAAATACTAATTGTTGCTGGCGTGAGAGTGTAACATAATTATCCATAAGTGTAGTGTTATAACTACACCTCTGACATTTATAACAAACCAAACCGTTTGAAAATCAGTAGAAAATTGAGCACGTTATGGTTATTTAAAAAGTACATGCAACAGTACAAGACAGTGTTATGGGTTAGCAAGCGTACCGTACCAAGATGGCCGCCAGTGTGGCCATGCAATTCCATTGGCCGGCAGCGTGGATGAGACATCTAGCCTTTATTATACATATCTATGGTTTAAACTGCTACAAGTATAACACACCAGAATCTTCAATGAGTAGCCAAGTTGCATTGTGGGTAATGTAGTACCTGGTTTGACGATGGTAAAGAACGCACCAATTAGAAAAAATAAAAATGCCTCTGGTTCTGCTGGCAGTGTTACAGGTATGGATATGTGATACTGACAAAATAGTTTGGCATCGGAAACAGAAGCTGTACTGAAAGGCAACTGTTGGAATTAAAATGCTAAAAAAAAAAAAATTTAAAGTTCAACTGAAAAACAAAACACAGATTTATAAAAGTATTTCATTTTATTTTGACATCTTCTTGTTTTCTAATCTGCTTTTCAGTCGCAGTATTCAGATTGTTTTTCTTCATGCTTGTTTTTTAACACTGATTTTTTTTTCCATTCTCAGTTTCAACTTTGTGTCATAGCTTTGAAGTGGAGGGGCAAGGAGTGCATGATTTACATCTAATTTGCATATCGCTGAGCCAGCACAGTGTGATGTTATCCTGTTAAAGCTGAAGTCAGTCTTTCTAATCCAGGACACCGTTTTGCCAAATTCTGCAAACGTCTCCTCATATCCTCTAGCTGTCTGTTCCGTGTGCTGAAAGAAAAACTAGTTTTCGTTCACAGTCTTGCATCTGTAGATGGGAGAAGGAAAACAAAGGGGACACACAACACTAGTTCATGGCTCCCTGTGCATCGTCATCCACCAAGTCCATGAGGGCCTGCGTGAAGCCCAAAATTTGTGACCGTGCAGAGAGTCTGCACCACAAACACATCGACTGCACATGTGCAAAGAAAAAAAATGTTTTAATATGAAGAAAAATATGATCCTGTACGCAATCCAGTGTGAACCTATTGTAGCATTCACACAATTCATGCTTCATGTACTAATTCATGAACAGCGTGAAATGGCCCTTAATCGATTCTGACATCTTCTCTCTTTTCTGCCTTGCAATAATTTTGTTAAACAGTAAATAGAAACACAAAACCTCAGTATTATTGTTATTAGTAGTAGTAGTAGTAGTAGGAAAGGTTGCTAGTTTATGAAAAAATACACAGCACATAATCTACACCACAGATATTGTTGTTTTTCTTTCCTTTAAAGACTATTTTATGGGTATTTTTCCTTTTCGTAGATAGTGTGTGAGTCAAGAGACACACAGGACATATAGAGAATGAGAGAGACAAGATGACACGCAACAAAGTTCTGCTATGTTGTTGTCACAGCGGACATTTTGACTGTTACTGAAAATTAAAGTTGGTTCTGTTGTACTGAAGTGTCCCAGTAAAGCTGACAGTTTTTCAGGATGCACAACGCCGAGTCCTGCCACCGAGGCATCTAAATGGAAATCAGACATCCGGGAGGAAAGCCTTTAGACTGTCTTAGGCACAGTGCTAAATTGCTTCTAACTTGTCCCATTAAAAAAAGCACTTCCCTTTAATCAGAAAAGAAACAATGAAAATAAACAAAAAAATGATAGAGCAGGTTGTATTATTATGCATTAAACAGGCGACAAGTGAAAGAAAAACAAAAAACTGCAGATACGTGTGTGTAGAGCAAATGTTTCACTGCTTGCAAAACAGTTTGAAAAAACATTTTAGACGCATTTTTACGTCATTCACCCGACGTGCATCTGACAAAACAGATATACTCCCACAAAAACAAACACTGGAGCACCATGTGCATAACACACATAATAATAGTATGCTGTAAAACGGCTATAATTATATACTTTTATAATATATCTTAGTCTTACATCGTAGTGTTTGAAAAGTATCCAATGCATTTGAGGGTTAAAGCAGGTAAACTGTGGTTTCAACAAACTTTCTGGCTGCTTACATCGTCTGGCTGGAGGTTAAAAAGCAGATAACTTCAGACTATGGATGTCCTGATCAAGCTGTAATGCCATCAATCCAATCCAAGCCATTTAATATTAAGTATTTGCCAGTACCGAGTCTAATCCAATAACTTTTTCCCGGATAATACACACTTCAAGTACCTTGAAGTTATTAAAATGAATCCAGTGCATATGCTGGACAGCTGGATAACTCTGCAAGGAATTAGGGGAGAAAAAATTGCAGTCCTGCGCCACAAGCTCCGAAAGATAGTAAAACCCTGTATTCTCTATATGAACGTATGGTAGATTAGCTGTAGTACCAGGGGTCACCACCAGGTGGAGCTGCTTACTCTATAAAACTGTAGTAGTCTGACTCATCTGATGTAGACTGCGGGTATAAGTCTGCCATTAGTCGCTCATTTCAGTCGGTTACGCCTCTCCTTTGTTTTCAGAATCCCCTTTACAAACAACACCAACCTCCACGCTAACAAGCTGCCACATTGAAAATTTGCTGAGGGTTTGGGTCGTGCAGTAAGGCAGACCTGACAGCTTTCTCCCGTGGATCATCCATATCAGCGACAGTGCTCGTCTCCCTGCATGCAAATGTTCCACCAAAACAGTTCCACTTGTGATGATTTTGAAGGAACATCAAAGCTACATCCTTTGCTTATCTCCGCTCAAGACAACTGTAATTGATTTAAAGGAATACAAACAACCCAGAGTGATTTTTCCCCACAACAGCAGAATGATAATGAGGTGCAGTGTTATGTTGGACAGAGCTGTCTGCCCAAATGAGACTAACACTGTAGGAGGCGGCCACCCAGACTATGGGGAGTTCAATGATGGCAAGCAGAGAGCATTGTGGGAGTTTGGCAAGCAACAGGCACCATGACAGAGACATTTATGTCACCTAATGTCATCCGGCCAAAGCTGTTGCGTTATAAATAATGCTTCCCATGCAATCAAGGCTCTTCCTTTCAGACATGTGTGTGACTGCAGAAGCAAATTGAGAATCTTGTTGCGAAAAGAGCAGATGCTTGTAAATCACAAAACGCTATGATTGATCCCACTTGGAACATTTCGACTTCAAACGCTTGGATTTTGTGAAAAATCCATCTTGGGCATGCTGCTGCTGTCTAAATGATCTTAAAGTGAAAATGGTCTCATTACACACACTGAGCTCAGGTCTGAATACAAGCCTCACACCTTCACATTTAACCTGAAATGTATTTGAATACAACTTCAAGCTTCTAAATGACTTTCAACAGATTATTAATCCACTCACCAGTCCGTCACAGGCACTTATCGCTGCGCTGCCTTGAACGGCGGCCTCATCCCACACTTCTCCTAAGAAATGGCACTGGGAGGATCCTGGGGAACGGATCTGGGCTCGGTCCAGGCCGCCGTACCTCCTCTCCGTCAGGAAGCCCGGAGCCAGCAGGTGTGGATTCAGGGTGAGGTTAAAGTGCAAGACGTGGCCGCCGTGCCAGAACTGGTAGAAGACCCGGTCGAGGTCCGCCGGTTCCTCTGCGGCTTCCCGGCGCTGAACGCGGCGAGCGTGGTGAGACAGGAAGTTGGACAGGAAGTGACCTCTGGCATCCACTCTGGTGGGGTGAACCACTTCATACTGAGGCAGCTCCTGCAGCGATCTCTCTGTGGGAAGACAGGACGGGGTATTAAATCATGGGAAAGAGGAGGGTAATTAAATAATTAAATGGCTGTAAAGCTGTAAACAAAACTGAGGAAGCTCTAAACAAACCCATATGGCTGTCAAACGTATGTTTTATGCTTGAATACAGCTGCAGAGTATGTATGCAACATCTCCTATGGGCTTCAAACTGGATTCTTGTCCACTATTCTCAGTTTTGTGCAGCAGGTTTGGTAAAGTTCATGATCAATATAATACTCTAGTTTCCTCTGATCTGAAATAGTTAAATCAGCAGCTTGGAAGTCAGTGTGACAAAGATGTTTTTAAAGAGTAAAAAACGTGGACCTGAACAAGTGGGATGAGCAGCCCTCTCATTCCTATACGTACAGCTTCATTGTGGCCACCTACGGCACAAGTTTAGTAGTAATTTAGGTTAACATCCTCGATAATCACTGTCTGTGTTTAGCGTGCGTTTTCAGTAAACCCAAACAGAAAGGAAAATACTGTAATTTAAAAATCAGAAGGTGACAAAGAACTAAGACATGAAACTAGAAGAAACCAAAAGACATAAATCTGTATTTGACTCTACAGTTCCATGAAAACTGTTTTTGTGGAGTTACTTTTGTATAGTGAAGTGAGCGTTTTTCAGTTTGAGAGCATCGTTTCTTTATTTTACTTTTAGATTTTTAAGGCTTTTTCCTGAAAACGTTACGCTCTTCGTCCAAAAGCTCCTGCTCAGAGCTGTCAGTGCACTCTCTTATATTGTTGCTGCACAAATGCTTCAGTTTGAGTCCTTCTCCTCACAGTTAAACTACTTCTGTGCGCTTGCAGATTTGTGCTCTCACGCTCAGAACATTGTTAAACAACCCTGTCAGGAGTCGCCGGCCCACAGAACGGCAGCTATGATCAATGAATTCATCGCTGCTTCCTGCAAGTTTCTCCTCTTTTCTTTAATTCATTCCACATGCATGAAAGCATCCGTGCATGACGTGACCCTACTGTGCAGAAAAAAAACAACTTATTATCCACAAAACATCATATTAATGTTGGATAATCCCTGATGCATTTGAACCACATCCTCATGTACATTAAATACAAAGCATATGGAGGTACTTGTCTATCTTTATACACTCTTGACTTCTCCTTCACAAAACTTCCGCTCTCAGATTTGTGATCTCACACTCAGATCTTTCTGAAACAACCCTGTTAAAGGTTTTTGAGTGATTTGGCGTCTGTATATTTTATTAGCTACATGTAAGAGCAGCTTGATCACACAATGGCTTCCTATCGTGTCACTTGTGGAGAAAATTAGGCCAGTTAGCTTCTTTGACATCATTCATTATGGGTGGTTACTGTTTAACTGGGTTCAGCAGCGTGATTCACCCAAATCAATGACCTCAAGTCAGGTTGTTATTTGAACAGTTACACAACTTTCCTCAGTTTTAATTGCTGCAGGCGTTGTTGTGCCACAGAAATACATCATGACAATGTGCTTGGCTTAGCAACGTGAACCTTAACAAGACAATAAAATCCTTCATCCCTTACAGGCTGTTACTGAGTAGCCCCTCGAAACGGATGCTGCAAGTCGGAAGCAACAGTTTTACTGGTTGACTGTTGTTGTACAAAGATGTGAGAGCACAAATCTGAGAGCAGAAGTTTTGAGAAGCAGTCCAAGTGCGAGGAGATGCACTCAAACTGAAGCACAGGACACTGGTGCAGCAACAGTACGTCTGAGAGCACGTTCATACCAAAGCAGAGGCTATTTAAGAGAAAGGGTTTCTGAAATCTGAATGTAAAATGCAGAAATAACACTTCCTAAAAGACAAGGCTCTCGAATAAAAATAGGGCAGTGACTCCATAAGTTTTGTTTTTAACATGCAAACGTGTTCAAAATGCATCACGGATAATCCAACTGTTGCACATTCGGGGGATGTTTTTGGGTTGTTTGTTTTTTAGACATTTGCACTATGAGGTTATGTCATGCATTCATGTTTTGGTCCATGTGCTGGAAGCTTGTTCCAAATAAAGACACAAACCTGCAAAGCACGGAGGAGGTTTGAAGATAAAACATTAGATCTGCATCAAACCACAGTAACATGTCGACTTTGTAGGAGGGAGATGCTGCGATAGAAAAAGGCAACATAACCAACTTATCTCAGCAGATTTTCCCAAGCTGAATGCAAGAAGAGCTGGAAATAGCAACGAGGAGAGACAATCTAAACAAAACAAACACACTTTGGCTACTGCTGCAGCTGATAATAGCAATTTTCCGTACTGTATCATATCATTATGCATCATGGACATAATGTAAAGCTACTCTAAGATCTTGTTACTACTTGCTTCAAGGTACGTGCAGGTACAGTACAAACAAATGTGGCTAATCTGCTTGACTAAAAGAAGATGATCATAATTACTGTTGTCACAGTAACACCACCTGCTTCACAAGGTCTCACTTATTCAGTGCGGCTCATAGTACAAATAACACCCCCGGGGCTTTGTACTTCTTCTACACACTGATGAATGCAGATCATCTGTTAGGGGACAAAGACCTGCTACTGAACCTTCACTCGACAATGATTAGCTTCATCTCATTCAGGAGAAATGAGCAGAATGCAAACAATGATTTCACGCAGCCTCGAGGCGAGCTGAAGTGAGGTCTCGCTCCAGCTTTCGGCATTGCTTTGGATCATCTGCACAAATATTTGCAAGGATACATCAGCGCAGACGGATCCGAGTTACATGCTTTTTGGCAACTGGCTGTAGGGAATGTCTCACCGCATGAGGAGTTTTTACTTTTTTTAACACCACTTGCAGTATTTACAGTATGTTTGCTTCGCTGGATGCGTTCAGTCTGTCAGCTACATGTCTTTAAATTAACACTTAGCTTTAATTTATGCACTGCTTAACCTCCTACAAAACCTAAATATTCCTAAAAAGGATTTATTGCTGGTTTCCTTGAGCAATCAGCACGACTGTCTTTCATTATGTGTCTCACTGATGAAAATCTGAACCAGATTTTCTAAATATTTGCTAAAAAAAAGGAAAAGAAATTTCCAGGGCTATGCGGTCTTTATGAAGGTACGCAGTCCCTGGATGACTTACATGCGATAACTCTTTTTTTTATTGGAAGGGAGCACATGAGAGGTTTTCCTCTACTTCATGCAGCATCTTAATTAACAAAATATGCCGAAGACAGTTTGCAATTTTAAATTACAGCTTTTCATCAAGCAGTTGTGCCCTCTGGACGGGCCTGACGAGCAATTATTTGCAATGAAAATAAAGTGAAAAATTAATTAAAAATGGTTTTAGTTATCTGCGGTGATCAGAAACAGACGCACTTTTGAAACTAGGACACTGACTTCAGAGGTGGTTCTGCTAAAAGTGACAATGTGGGTTCAACAGCGTTCACGCTCACATTGTTGACTGATAACTCATATCTGTGCACCAGAGTTACATATTTAGAAGTTTTGTCTACGAGCATAAACCCTTCCTGCCCTAAAGTGGCTATAAAGTAACTCTCACTGCAGCCCGAGCACTTCAGCTCCCCAGCAACTCAACTCAAACACTGTAAAACTGCTCGATGCTGCACAATGACAATCTGAAATAATCAAGTAACTCATCCTTATGTGTTCAAACCAAAAACTGATACTGAAAAAGAATAAATGATACAGAAAGTTCCACCCTGCAAGTCTTGGGGTTTTTGTTTTTAGGTTTGTTATGAATGAAAAGTCTGAATCTGTGTTTTTGGGATTTCCATCGCTGTGCTGCAGCTTCAAGGTAAAAACCCTCACCTGACTGCATGTTTTACTCATGATGTGTCACCTAGAAAAATGAAATTACCATATAGACATGATAGAAAACTTGTTTTCATGTTCCTATTCATTCACCTTAAAGTTAATGAAACCGTTATCAGAATGACTCTCCCCTTTTACAACTTGCACCTCTGCAGCTATAATAACTACAATTATGTATTCGTGTTCCAAGACAGAATAAAAAAGCATCTCATTAAGAGGCAGCCAGTGTCCCAGTGCTCCACTTTCAGGTTCTTCAAAGTTTAAAAATAAACTTGTGGCCTCCTGCGCCAACAGTTAACACCTGAAATCGTTACTCTTCAAGAGCTTCCTCCCCCTCGGTGACACATCCTCGTCTAGACTTCCAGAACGCCTGACAGTAGTTAGCTTCTTCTCTCAAGGGCACACAGCTTGTTTGTACAGGATGAGGCAGAGTGCATCCAGACTTCTGGTTGCTTTAATCTCAGGAGAGCCCTGACTTTTAGCATCCAAACCACAAACTGGAAGAAGGGGGGGAGAGAGAGAGACTGAGGGGATGAAAGTGCCGGGACAGGAGGCGGGGGGAGGATTAATTCTCAGATGTGGTGATATCCAGTGGGGCAGCTAATACACTTTGTTTCCTGTGTCCTTCACTGGTGAGGTCAGAGGTCAGTGTCAGAGCTTCTGGGTTTTTCACAGATGCTGCGTAAAGCTTCCTATGATTCATCCAACATCAGATCTCTCTCCAGCCACCACACTGAGCTGCACAACTTTGGGCTTAATTGTCATGGTCAGCTCCAAACTTTGTAAACACAAGTCACAGCTGGCTTCCTCTCACAGAGCTGGCCTGGTTCTGCCCTGAATTACGTGCACTCGTGGAAAAAGAAGAGAAAAAAAGTGCACCAGAGGACGCAGTGAAATCAGAACATGTTTTCACTAACCTGGTTCGTGCGACAATCCCAGCGTTTTGCAGTTTTCCAGGACCATCAGCAGCGCGATGAAGAAGCAGTGAATGGGAGACGCTCTTTGTCCAGACGCGTGAAGCCCGCAGCGCATGTTGTCAGGACGGTGGGAGCAAGTATTTTAGAAACATTTAATGCCTTTTTTTCCCCTCAAAGCGCGGTCGACTTGTCAATTCAAATGATTTCCATGTGGGGCTGCGCTTTTCTGTTCTTTTCTGTTCTCTCGCTTTTGTTGCAACCCCTGCACTTAAACTGTGACAGTCCCAGCAAACTTCTCCAATTCAGGCCTGGACATCGTCTGTCTTCACGGGGCGTTTTTGTTGCATTCTCTCCCTGTGTTTATTGGTTTTTAAAAACGTGTGTGTCCCTGGTCCCTCTGTCCTCCATCAGTCTCCTCCCGACAGCCAGTGACAGCTCCAAACTTTTCCTCTGCAAACTTTCGCAGAGCCACCCCCACAGATGGGTGGACTTAAGACAATGGGCTATCTTTCAGGAGGGCTTAAAGGGGAATGCTACTCCAAGAAATCGGATATAGTGAAACAGTCCAATTGGCAGTTAGTCCACACATTTAGAAAAAAAAAAAAAACTGAGGTCTTTCGGGTTCTCAGTGGGTCAGATGAGGACCGGTTGCATTCACTTGGAATCAGATCAATGGCCACAGATCAGAAGCGTCATAGTGTGATTTCATAATAATAAAAAAAGTATTTTCCTCTTGGACCTGTTTGCCAAAACCTCCATAGACTTATGAAGGGAAGCTGTGCTTGAAAGCATAAAGTTCAGGGAGGTTCCTGCTCTGAAAAACCTTAACTGAACTTATGACTTCAACTTCGGATACGTTGGAATTTATAGTAGAGAAAAATGTCACAAAGGGATTTCCATACTGTAGATCACACTGACACACACGGAATGGAGTTTACATTGAAACAAATCCACATGGCCTCCAAACTATATATCATTTAGTGCAGGTTTGCATGTGTCCGAGCTTAGTGCGCCCTCTAGTGGAAGGTTAAAGGCACCATGGACCCGTGGCACAAGGATGCTGCTTGTACAGTATGTTTGAAATGTTACACATAGATTCTGGTATGTTGTAAAACTTTGACATTTATCATCATAAAGCATGTTACTGGCACACTGATACTGATGATGCTGCTGGAGGTGGTTTAACTCTGGTGCACCAACAGGTAGGAAAAGAGAAAAATATACTTTTTTTTCTCTGTTTTGATATCATAGTGCACACATTATTAATACTGCTAAAAGTCTTGCATTTTGTTTTATTGTTTTCCACAGTTTTCACGGTTCGTGCGCATTTTACGCACGGACCCTGTGCCAGGCGCATTCCATCACAGCTCTAATGGGCTGACACGAGTGAAGGATAAATATAAAGTCATGAAGACCAGACAATAAATCAGTCCTCTCTCGTCTAGCTGCTGGATTCAGGATGCTTTCTGCACATCTCCCACTGTCTATTTCCCTCGCATCCCAGTCGACCAATCGTGGCTCAGCGGAGCAGCGACACACCTGTATAAAAGCAGCCTCCTGCCCAGCTGTCAGTCAGAGAGGTGACGAAGACGAAAACTCACTGAATGGAGATACTGAGCGAGGACACTTTGACATGGGCTGTGCCGTAAAAAAAAAAAGTCTGTTATGAGTGCAGGGTCCTAGTCTAAGTCATGGATGAGATATTTAACCACAGCGGAGCTCCGAACCGGAGTTCTGTCGGTGATGAGAAGTTCAGCTTTGAAGACATCGATGTGAGCGCGGACGGGACTCCCATCCTGAGGATTCTCATCTCGGTGGTTTACTCTGTAGTTTGCGCGGTGGGTTTGGTGGGGAACCTGCTCGTGTTTTTCCTCATGAGGTTAAGACAAGGTCGGAAGAGATCAACTATAAATTTCTTTATCATTAACTTGGCAGTGACGGACTTCCAGTTTGTCCTCACGCTGCCCTTCTGGGCCGTGGACACCGCGCTGGACTTCAGCTGGCCGTTTGGAGACGCCATGTGCAAAATCATCCTCTCGGTCACTGTCATGAACATGTACGCCAGCGTCTTCTTCCTCACCGCCATGAGCGTGACCCGCTACCTGGCCGTGGCCTCGGCCCTGAAGAAGAAAGCTCACAGGAGCTCACGGTGTGTGAAGTGGGTGTGCGCGGTGCTGTGGATGGCGGCGACAGCTGCCACAGCTCCGACAGCCATCTTCTCCACTGTGACTGTGGTCGCCGGAGAAAAACTCTGCCTCCTGAAGTTTCCAGAAGGACATGACTGGCTCGCCCTCTATCACATCCAGAAAATACTCATAGCCTTCATCATCCCAATGCTCATAGTGTCCGTCAACTATCTAATGCTCCTGCGCTTCGTCAGGCGGAGGAGCATGGACGGCAGCAACCCCAAACGGAGATCTAGAGTCACCAAATCAGTCGCTATAGTGGTTTTGTCTTTCTTCTGCTGCTGGATGCCAAATCATGCCATCACCTTCTGGGGCGTCTTGGTCAAATTCAACGCGGCCAACTGGGATACATCGTACTACATGGTGCACACCTACGTGTTCCCGGTCACCGTGTGTTTGGCGCACGCGAACAGCTGCTTGAACCCGGTGCTTTACTGCCTGATGAGGCCGGAGATCAGGAAGATGCTCAGCGGTTTGTTCTGGAAAGTCTCCAGTCCTTCCTCCAGCAAAGTCTGCGCGACGCGCTCCGTTACGCATGGAGAGCTCCAGGGAGTCGTACCTCTCCAGATCATGGATAACGCGGAGTACTCGCTGCCCATCATAGACCGTAAAGGTTTATCCAGATCTAAAATCATCCCATACAGCCGCTAACTTCACTCTGATGAGGGTTACGCTGCTGCTTTTCTCTCCTCTGGTTGCTCACCTGTAGCTGTCGTGCGTAATTCTCTCGCCTCTGTCCCAATTTGAACATTTTACAGAGTTTCCCATCATGACATACTGTGACAGGTGATTCATTCTCAAACAAACGTACTGCTGACATGATCCATTAATGGAATAAACTGACGAGCTTTGAATTTCTGTTTCTTTGCTCTCCATTAAAATGCAGCTTTTCTTATCGTGGGAAGACATGTAGTGAAAGAGAGAAAGGACTGGGACTGAGGGGACAAACGTCCTCGAATGGAATCAAATCTTGGACAAGGAGGGACTCAGGAGTCTCAGCTCAATGTGGGCTCATATAAAATGATCTGTAATGAACTTGGTTACGTTGCAGTGGTTTTCATTCATGTCCACTTTGTGAAACCTGTCTGTAAATAAACTGCTTTTTCCATCTGAGGTAGTAAATGATTATTTTTTCTTTCCCCCATAGAGTCCAGATGTTTTTTTGGTTGTTTTTTTTGACTCCCTGCTGTCATTTACAAAATGATGCCATAGTCTTTAATTCTGAGATATTTGTCAAATCTTTCAGTCTATATTCTGTGTGCAAAGCATTTTCTCACACTGTTTCTACACCAGACGTTTCTGTCACATCACTGAAAACGTGCAGTTTAACATCCTGTAAGTCAGAGCAGGTGCATCTCTACAGGCAGATCCGTTCCTTTAGCTTTCATTAAGAAATAAATCAATAGTTTGGGGGGTTATCTGTGACAAGAGCTCACATTTAAGAAAAATAGGGGAACCAGTGTGCAAAAGAACATTCAATTAACATGCAAAATGGACTGGTTGAAGATATGAGGTGCAAAAATTGCATTAATTAATTATTTTTTTTAAAAAAAATCAATTAAATAAAGTATTCACTCATAAAAATCTTACAATAAACATAAAAGTGTAAAGTACTTCTGGACATTTAAAAGGCTCTATTTTTCAGCACTAAGCAGCTCTTTAGAATCAACTTAATGTACTAATGGTTGAATCAACCTCATGTGTTAGTATAATTTTTTAGTACTGTAAGATGAGGTGGCTCAATCTGATTAAGTCAGACAAGCCCTTGAAAAATAAGCTCAAACAATCCTAATATATGATGTTGACTCAACACAAGTAGAATGGCCTTACTGTCATTACACATATTTGTAAAATGAAATTTGCTGAGCTGTGCCTAAAAGCGATAAAGCCAGTGGCAGGAATATGGAGAATTGTGAAAAAACATTAGGTTGGACCAACAGACTTGCTTAATGCTGGGGAAAAAAAGCTATTTAATTATGTGGAAATACGTTGCATTTATGTTCATTAAGGAGAGTTTTTTTCTAAACTCTCAGCATGAATAAATGAAGTAAATGTTTTTGGATATACGGCAAAAATAATCTGAAATTCTGGTCTACAATGTGCACGGTACACTTCAGTAAATGTAACATGCAGCCACTTTCCTTTTTTTGACTGTGGAAAAAAAAAGGCACATAATGATTCTTCTTCATGCATAATTCATGTTGGACAAACTCCTTTTCATCATGTGCTGCTGCGCTGCTGATATGGTGGATTCTCCATTCGGCAACCACACAGGCGTCTCCAGCGCCCCGGGGGAGATGTTAACAGCAGCCCCAGAGGGTCCAGCAGCCACTTGGCATTCGACAGCGGCGCAGATCCTCCTCAGATGATTGATCAAATGAAAACACAGGACAGTTCAGGGCGGAGGGAGTCTCCTGGCTGCAGGCCGCCTCCACTGCTGCCAGGTTTCTGTGTTAATGAGAGTCTGACCTTCCTTCATCCTCCTCCTGGTGCCCAGCGGCCCCTTTGTTCTGCGTCCACGTTGCTGCAGGGAGGCTGTACCATCACTAAGTGTTCAAACTGCTCATTTTTTCCTGAAGCAACAAGTGCATCGGGCCACATTGTTAGCCTCTGGGATTCTTCCAGTCAAGTGGGACTAAATTCATTGTAGCCTGAAGCACAAATGTCTCTGAATGGTTTCCCAATCTGTAGTCTTGGGCCTTCAGCCTCATTAAAGGAAAGAAAGAAGAAAAAAAACCTTTAGCAGCAAAGAAAAAGGAAGAAACCTAAAGAAAAGCAGCAGAGTAGCTCTCCTGGTTTGATCCATCACCAAAAGAAGAAAGAATTGATGCGTAATCTACAGCTGTCACGGGGGGGCAATCGGGGAACCCAGGAGCAGACACAGATCAGGCTGACAGGCAGGTACAGTGCAAAAGGATTTTAATAAGGCAGAAACAAAACTGAAAACTAAATACAAGGGTGTAGACTAAACAGAGTGGGAAGCAGAACGAAACAAATAGACAGAATTCAAAAAAGGACAAAACTACAAAACCAGAGAAAACTC